CATTAAATATACATTCTGAGGTGTGTAATGGGTCAGGATGGCATGAGATGGTTTGGCTGTGAAGGATATCAGCGGTGTTCATTTCTTCGACTCATCTTGGAGTCATTCTGAGCTGTTCACACCTAATGCTCATCCAGTCAGACTTGAGCATGAGGTCTTTGCTGTATAAAAATACTTTCACCAATGTAATTCATTTAATTCATGTCTGTTCCATTTAATGCAATCTAATAACATAAATTTGATTAAACTTAAGGGAGTTTTCGAGGGAGAGGCAGTCGTTCAGTTCAGCTCAATCACATCATTAGCCAAAAAGTTTGTTCGTACAGTGCTGGAACATTATTGATCTTGTTCCGAATCAATGTAACCTAACAATAATGCTTGCATGTCTTAACTATGCAGTGGATTATTGGGTTCAAGTCTTATATGATCGACATTAACGCTTGTCCGGGACAAGTGGATTTTGTGAAGGGGCAAGTGAAAGAGAATTTTACTTGCCCGACCGGACAAGTAACCTGATTAAAACATCAGTAACAAATAACAACTAGGGCAGCACCGAAACTATGGCGAGAATGATTGTGATTTTATTACTTTCAGTGTAAACTGTGACTGATAATGGATAATGTATTGACAGTATCAAGGTCGCGTCAGTTGAGGCTCCCGCAGCCTGTCTGACTCGCGTAGAAATCAGAACTAATAAACGCAACAGCACACACAAAGAAACAAACATGAACAAACATACTGTGGAAAAAAAAAGAAAAGAAAAATATTCTATATAATATATGATATAGGTAAGCAACATCACACGAACAAGAGTGATGTTTTCCCGACTATCAGCACGATTACAAATGTGACACTGATTTTATACAACAGTAGTTCAATAAACAAGTAGTTAATATGAACTGATTTACATTTTAGACAGATTTTTGACAGTTTTTGCTCCATTTCGCAAACGAAATAGTTCTAAGCAAAGCCACAGCAGAACAGTCGCACATCTCCGAGCAACACACAACAGTGTTTCGTTACTGAATGTTTCAGCGTTTTTGAATGAATCAGGTGAGTCAATGATTCAGTGAGCCATTCATAAAGGCCCTGTCCCAAATCGCACCCTAAACCCTCGCAGTCTTCCTCTGACTCCACACTTTTGTGATGTAATGCCACTTTGACTATCTGGTAGAAGTCTGCCGCAGAGCTCGCCTCAGTGCGGGCTCGGCAAAAGTGCGCATCGAGGGTGCATAGTGGCCGCAAAGGGGTGGTATGGTAACAACTATTGCCCTTCCTAAAGTTAAAAAGTGTCCTAGAAATCCATTTAAGGCAAGTATCACAAATATGCTGATTAAAGTAAAACCGTATACTATTGCTTCAGATTATATTTACACCAAAAAAAAGAAAAAGCTTTTTTCCGCCAGACAAGTAACTTTTTTTACTCAGACAAGTGAATGACATGTCAAGGCGTAATGTTGAGCCCTGCCTGTGATGGGTTAATGGGTCAGGCCTACATAAATTTAGTCAGTATTAAAAATCGAGTGTGTTGATGTGCTCAGTGAGTTATGCTGGTGTGAAAGTGCATCACATGGTTTCACTGAGGTCCTGTAAAGCAGACAAACACTTGACTCACCATCAGTGCAAATCAGCTGAGTCCAGACACACAGGCTAAAGGAGCTATTTAAGAAGAGGAGTATTTATAGCTGCTCAGGGAGATGACCAGCACGCAGTGACGCTGGTTAAAACAATACCTCTAATCTTTAATGCACACACGTGGTGCATAGGTCATTTTGAACATGAAATGAGGAATCACATGACATCAGAGTCAGGTCGTTGACCAGTTAAACACACATAGTCCTTATTTAGCTCAAGTGTTGTTGTAGTAGTTACTAGATTTTTAGATTTTCTGAAAAAAAAAAAAAAATTAAGTGGTGTATGCATTGCATACACTGCAATGCTTCCAGTTAATGGGCACTATTTAAATTAATTTTCTTGTATATTTTTACCTTTATGGGGACTTTTTTTTCATAAAATATTTTATTTAAATAAATTAAATATAAATAATAGGTAGATATAGTTAATATATTGTATGATATTTTGAATAATATATTTTATTTAAAAAATATTCTGTGTTATGTCAATTACTTTAATATTATTAATTACATAGATAACACAAATTATCAGTAAATCGATTGAAAATATATTTGGTCTTACAGATAAAACTAAATTAACAAAAATCAAAGGAGCTCCGTTTTCTTTATAGGGACATTTCCTTTTTTATTTATTTTTTTGTCAATATTCTGTTATCCTTGATGTCAAATAGTTTAATATATAATCAATATATATACAGAGAGCGAGAGAGAAGATACTGCTTTGAAGATCCATCATTGTGTTCCAAGCCTGTAGAAAGGTGAAGGAAGAATAGTTGTGATTTAAGTCATGTTATGATTCGATGTATAGGATCTATGGCTGTAAAACTTCACAGAACGCAGCTGATTTCCAATAAAAATGGAACACCCATCAGTTATAAATTGTATATATTTCCCAATCCTTCTATGTTTTTTTATTATATAAATATATGGTTATACTGTCCTGGTAAATTGTCCATTCGTATTTGTTTTATAAGCTTTTTAAAACAGAATTCTACACTTTTCCCAACAAAACAAAGGTGGAGGAAAGGAGAGAAAAGTCTGCAGAGAGTCTGTCTGGGCCTGATCAGCAATTGGAGATGATAAATCTCCATATAACAATACAGACTGTAGCATTTCTGTATTTATGTGTGTGTGGGTTTGTGCCTGTAGGTTTTTTTTATATCTGTGCATATGCGTAGGCGCATTCCACCAGATGTTTGAAAGTATTCGTTACCTTTGTGTTTGTTATGGCTGTGGGCTGACCGATTTCTGTTATACGACCTCATGCTTTCCTCCCTGCATAGCTCAGCAGTTTCCAGAATATTCTGCAGGCTCATCCGAGGGATCATATAGGCCAATGCATTAATGTATTCTTGAATATCTAATGGTAGGCTATCGATATCCTTCTGCATAGAGCAATAATCCGGGTGGGTTGGTATCCGATATGAAACCTGCTGATATAGATCAAACATCGTATAGAAGACACAAAGGATGTTTGCAGTATCCTACTGTGTGTGTCTGTGCAGTGCGCATTGCATTGGAGTGAGGCGTGGGTGTGATCTCGTCTTGTGTGGCATGGCTTGATGACTCATAAACGCATCATTGTGATGTTCTATCTCCATCTCTCATCTCCATCCTCACTGTAACCCCTCCTCACCGTCATGACCTCATGCAAACACACAATTCAATTTAAATCCACAGAGAGTCACAAAGCTGAGAGGATGATATTCTCATCTTGCACTTCCCAAACAGAAATAGCACCTGTGTAGTTCACTAGAGTTCAAAAAGCTTCTTTATAATATTATAAGCTGTAATGTGAAAATAACTTGTCACTTTAATTTCTCGGCTCCTTGTTTTGTTGCTTTCGCTCCTGCCTTGATCTCACCTAGAGTAATCCTCCTATCTGCAGCGAAAACATGATGCCTGCTTATACTCCAGGGGCCTATTAGCTCTTATTCCTATGGAAGGACTTGTATCTTTCTTTGCTATCTCAGTAAATGTTTTATTGCTGTAAATATATGATTATGTGATAAAATAAGTTATGATGTTGTCGGAGCACACATGATAAAGTAGTTTTTGTGGTAAGCATCAGTATTTCTATTGTTCGTTTGGGGATTTGCATAAACCTTAAAGGGTGTAATGTGTCATTTCTGCACCATAGTGGCGACAAATTAAATAAAAATAAAAATAAATCATTGGGATTAAAAGTGATTACACTTTTTAAAAATTTTCTCCAACAGGACAATAAAACGGGTGGAAAAACTCCCTTTGACTTATACTGAAGGAAAGTCCCAAGCCATATCTAGAGACTAAAATATCATAGAGATTTGGGAATGGGCTCTTTTGACTTAAAACAGTAAGCAACCACTCAGAATGCCATAGAAACCACCCAGAACATCCTAGAATCACTTAGAAACACCCTAACAACCACACAAAACAACTTGGAATCACCTAGCAATACCTTAGAAACCATCCAGAACACCACAGTATAGCAACACCTATAAACCATCTAGAACACACTAGAATCAACTCAGAACACATAGACAACATGTATAACAACATGCAAAAACCTTCCAAAAACCCACATAGCAATGCTCTGGCAACCATCCGGAACTCCTATAATCACCTATCAGTGCCCTAGGAACCATCCAGAATACATTAGAATCATCTAGAAACACCCTATAAACAACCCAGAATACATTATTATTATAACACACTAAAGCAGCATTATAACACACTAAAACACTCCAAACACCTTAGTACCAACATAGCAATGTCCTAGCAACCACTCAGAACACCCTTTTATCACTTAACAACACTCTAGAAACCATCCAGAACACCCTAGAATTACCTGGCAACACACTAAAAATATTCTAAACATAAAAACACCCTAGAATGATCTAACCATGTCCTAGATTCACCTAGCAACACCCTAGAAACCAACCAGAGCACCCTAGAATCACAATAGAAACCATCCGGAATGCTTTAGAATGACCGACCAACCAAGAACCATTGAAACAACCCAGAACACATAGCAGCATAACAACACATTAAAACATTTTAAAAATCTTAGTACCCACATAGCAACACAGTGGCAACCACCTATAACAGCCTAGTGGTTTTGTTACCAAAACAGGATCTCTGTGGGTTGTGCATGTTGAATTATAAAAGCCACATTAAAAATGTGTTTGCATTTCCTAAGGTGAAGTGTAATGATCACAATTATATCTAGATTTTAAGAGACATAATTGGATCTAATGTAGATGGAGCTGTCATTTTCATTTAATGGTGAAAGTTGCGTGTCTGTGAGTCTCATACAGTAATACTGTATATCCTGCTTCCTGTATGTAACCATGACCTCTAAATCTCTGTTTTCCTCTCTCTCAGTGGAAGCCATTGTGGAGTTTGATTACCAGGCCCAGCACGATGACGAGTTGACCATCGCTGTCGGTGACATCATCAGTAACATCAGGAAGAATGAGGGCGGCTGGTGGGAAGGAGAGCTGGACGGTCAGAGGGGGCTCTTCCCCGACAACTTTGTCAGAGTAAGTGCTGAACTCAGCATTTCCCTTTTGACCTTTCCCTGCAGGAGGTAGAGGATGGATTCACAGCCTAGTCTCACCACAGGCTGTCGGTTTCTCGCCTTAATTTAGCATGACCAAGCCATCAACACTTTTTCAGGGTGTCAGTGAGTGTGCCTAGAGTGTTAGGGCTGAGCGAAATAGCAAAAACCGTTTTATCTTGAAATTTCACACTTTTGACAGTATCAAATACATATCTCGAATGCGACCAATTACACTACCGTTCAAAAGTTTGGGGTCAGTACAGTAAGATATTAACAGTTTTACTGACTAAAAATATTTACAATGTTACAAAAGATTTCTATTTCAAATAAATGGTGTTCTTGTGAACTTTGCACAATGTTTCCACAAAAATGTTAATCAGCACAACTGTTTTCAACATTGATAATAATAAGAAATGTTTCTTAAGCAGCAAAGCAGCATATTAGAATTATTTCTGATGGATCATGTGACACTGAAGACTGGAGTAATGATGCTGAAAATTCAACTTTTTTAATCAGGAATAAATGACATTTTAAAATTTAAAGCAGTTATTTGAATTATAGTAGTATTTCGCAACATTACTATTTTTACTGTATTTTTTAACAAATAAAAGCAGTCTTGGTGAGCATTGGAGAAGACTTTAAAACAACATTTTTATATCTTATTGATCCCAAACTTCTGACTGGTAGTGTAGATTCAAAATGTTTAATCAAATAAGTTAATTTCAGTACAAATGTAAAAATCTAATAATTGTTTACTAAATGCGCAGTGAAACATTAGTAATGAAAACGCATGGACAGTTATTTTTGCAGCTGACAAATGCATTTGCATTTGGGGGAGTTTCCCTTTCAGACACAATTTATGGGAGGAGAGTATTTAAATATATCACGCAAGGTGATTTACTAATGTTTGCGGTAGTCAGTTTACTGGTATGTGCGCCATTATTTAAAGCATGACTTAACCCATTTTGCACTTGTGTTTTAAGTAGATTACCCACACCTGATTATCATGCTCTGCTTGTTTGCGACCCTATGCTAATTTGTGCTGCTCTTGGTAGATTGCATTGGTCATTAACGGAAATGAGGCGGCTGCGTCTGTGTTCTTTAATTTGTGCTAAAACTTTCCACTCCCGTCTGTGCTTTTCTGGGATTGCATTCTCACTCTGTTTAGTAAATTTGGCGCTATATCTCCAAATAAAAAGTGCTTTTAAAAAAGTATTGTTCATGTTTTGCTGCCAACAAGTCATTGCGGAAATATATTGAATTTTCATTATATCGCTCGTTATATTGTTCAGCACCAGAGTGTGTTGGCAAGTGTATATGTTTGTGTTGAGCTGAACTCAGCAGGCCTCTAATGGTGACTGTCAGAGGATGGCGAGTGAGTGTGCTGACTGGAAGAGTATTGGTCACACTGAGCTGCAGCACTGCAGACGGACAGGATGCTAGTGTTGATTTGGAGAGAAAGAGAGAGCGAGCATCTCTATGACTTGTGCTCTCACTCTCTCTCCAGTGACACCAGTACATCAGGGGAATATTGCAGCAGGAAACCTGCAAACTCCTCCAGCAGATTGTCATGAGCTCAGGTGTGAGGAGTCCATGAAAGCTTGTTAGCGTTGTAGCGCTACATACTTGTTAGCACCAGTAAGGCGTGATATGAGACTCTTTCTAATCACACTGGGATTGTTCTTAGTACTTTATTAGTACAGTTCTCATTGTAATCTCCTTTTGTTTATTTCTTACTGTAAACACATTTCTTTTCAACAAGTAACACCACTAATGTTGGTGTGAACTTTAGAGAAAATCTTGTGGTTGGCTGAAATGTTAACGAGTCAAGTCTCAAAGCCCTTGTGTTTTTTAGTGTTTTTTAGTGTTAGTAGTTTTTGTATGTTGCAAGTTAGTTTTATAACCCTGTTGCAAGACGATTAATTTTCTTGTTATTTTAGTCTGTTTATTTGTTCTTTAAGCTATGCTTGTGTAAATGAAAGCATGTGAAATTTTACTTGAATCAAAGTTGGCAAGAGAGGAACTGTTCTAATCAACAAACCATTTTTTCTTTCAAGTCTGAATCAAGTCTAAATTTAGTCTCAGATAATTTGAGACTATTTTCTGATGTTTTATGATTGATTTAAAAAGCACAAATTCGATTTCACAGCCTTCAGCTCGTCTGTTTGCCTGTAAAAGATGCCGTTTATGCAGTGAATGCGGTGTACAGAGAGACTCTGCAGCTTCGTGAGGTCACTTCCTTTTCGATGGTTCATGGTATAGGGAAGTGCAGACTTCCTCTGAAGGCACTGGGGAGGGAAGATGCTTAACAGCGAGACGGTGTGAAATTCAACGGTGCAATTTAAACAGGCTTTTCACAGCTTGAGCACAACTGATGAACTCATTCTGAAGACACTAAAACAGTTGTCATGAAATCATAGTGAAGTTATTTCTTTAAAAAATCTTATGATTCTCTTCACAGACTGCATGTGTAAACTTGATTAGAAAAATGGGTAGTGGAATAGTTGAAAGCTGAAAATGTACCATTTTGTTGTTCCTTCTAAGATGTGGATGAGTTTGTTTTTATAATCAGAACAGATTTGAAGAAATGTTGTATTATATCACTTGCTCACCAATTGATCCTCTGCAGTGAATGGGTGCCGACAGAACAGCTGATAAACACATCACAATAATCCACAAGTAATCCACACAACACCAGTTAATCATTTAATGTATTGTTAAAGTGGTCATATGATGCTTTTTTAAAGATCATTATTTTGTGTATTTGGTGTAACAGAATATGTTGACATGCTTTAATGTTCAAAAAACACATTATTTTTCAAATACTGTACATTATTGTAGGTCCTCTATGCCCCGCC